TTCCTGGCCTGCCTGTACAGGATCCTGCCTCCTCTTTGGTATGGCAAAGCTGCCTGAGCTTAGCCATGAACCAGGGCTTACAGGCAGCTGTCTGGCATCCATACGCTTGCTGTGACCCATAAGACCCATAGGAACGGTTACCTCTATCATCAACAGCATTTTGTCCAGCTGGTGCTCCGGGGCCAGTAAGAGACTCCAGCACTGCTCCCAGGGGGCACAAATTAGCCAGCCTGGATGAGTGAGGCAGCACGCTCACACAGCAGAGAGATCCCAGAGCCCTGTGCACTGATCGGCCCCCTATTCTCTCTCTGTAATTCTGCTGCTTTGGCTTTGCGAAGGCAATGGCAAGTCAAACTGTAATGTCATGCCTTGAGGTCAAAACAATGAGCAGTTACTTTGTGTTTGCTGCTAAGTGGTCTATTCCCATGCAGTGTGACCTAAGCACCATATCCACAGATCTGCTGAGTGAAAACATTAGCACACACACTGGGCAGTCTGCCTGCACTTCAGTAACATAATCAGCTTAGTGTTCAGCCAGGGCAGACATTTAGGGCAAATGTTGAGTTGGTGTGACAGTAAAATTGACACTTGTCAGCTTAACAAGATTAATTTTTTACAGTGTGGGCACAGCATCAAGCTGGAAGGTCCAAAGTCAAATTATGTGCTATCAAGAAACACTACAGCCTGAGTATTTCAGCAGACACCTGTTGCAAAAGACTGTAGCTTCAGTAGCTATAACATTACACTCAGTACGACTGGGTAATGGTCAGTTCTTTCACATATAGAAGCCACTACAAACGTTAAGTGAAATGTGAACATCCATGGGATCAATATGACGCCCTTGCTGCAGTAAAAGCAAATAAGGGAATTCTAAATACATTTCCTTTATAATGCAACCAGAAAGCTGACCAATTAATTCTGCATGGCATGAACTCAGGGTGTGGAGTCACTACTTCAGGTGATCTATGACTAACAGTATGAATAACAGTAATTATTAATCTGTCATGCACTTTGTAATAAAAGGTGTCAGTTTTTGTTTGATATCTCAGTTAGACATCACATTAAAGACACTGCATGTTAGTTTTAAAGAACAATTGTTCTAAGCTTGGATGCTTATAAGTCGATTTGCCATTCTGCAAAGATGAATCGCCTTTGATAAATTAACTAAAATGGTCTCAGCTCAGATTATTGGAGCTCTTTGTTACTTTGTGTGCTATTTAAGAAAAATCCTGAAATCCTTCTCGGTTGACCTTCTTTAAATGAAAAAATGGAGATTAATTATCTGTGGCTGCTTGTAACATGTTGCCGTGGTGTCTTAAAAGAGAGCGCAAGTGATATCACAACCACATTTTTAAAGAGCTTCAGTGGTGCCAAGATGGAGCCATCTTGTGGTTACGATATCATGACGTTTCTCAGGGGACAGAGTCAACTTTAAATGAGAGGGAGTTGGGAGCTCCTACTTAGCGAAATGCTGCATTACTCTTTTTCTCATCACTTCGGAGGCTGCAGAATAAAACGCATCAGCCATATCTGGATAGTGTCTTTGCAGATTGATGCTGCAGGTGGAAAGAAAGGCGCCCAATTCCAAATGAAATATCTGCTGTTTGAACAAAGTGGACCCCAGTGCACTCATGAAACAAACTGTCAACTCCAAATCAATTATGATGCTTTACCAAGGATTCTTGAGTTACAGTGCATGTGGTGCACCATTCCTAATAGAATCCTGAACTTCTGGTTTCCTCAGGCAACAATGAAGGACAGCAAACAAGAAACTATTTGTCATAAGTTGATTAAAAAATCAGCAACAATTTTGATAACCAATTAATTATACAATTAACTTGGTTCAGCTCCTCGAATGTGAAGATTTTTTGTTTGTTTATTTTCTTTGTTTTTTATGATAGTAAGTTTAAATTATTTGGGATTTAGAGTGTTGGTAGGACAAAACATGGCATATGAAGGTGTCGCATTGGGCACTGGCAAAGTGTGATGGACATTTCAGCATTTTTTGACTTTTATAGACAACAATATAACAGAGGAACAAAGAAAATGATTTATATAATAATCAATAATGAAAATAATCCATACTGCAGCCCTGTTTTTGATCATCAAAGTGTACATTGCAAACATACTGAGGTTGCGCATGTGAATTTTAATGATGCATCTAATTTAAAAAGGCAACCTGAGACACATTAACGCAAAGACTGCAACAATTGTATTCTGTTAATCTGTTTGCTTTTCTGGGCCGGGGGATAACGGTCACTGAAGTCCTGAATGGTAAATAAATCACTAAAAAGGACGCCTAAAGAAACACAGAGACAGAACTGCTTTTTTCAATAATATAAGAGCTGATACAATTAGTTGATTATTCAGTCAGTCAACTGACAAAAACAATTCATCAGAAGCTATTTTGAAATTCACTGTTCATTATTTCACCATGTGTGAGAGATGACTGTTGGTCAGAAAATAAACAAGCTACGTGAAACATGGTGGGCTTTGGCAGATCAAACTGGGCATTTTTCACTATTTTGAACATTTTACTGACTGAGTAATTAACTGATTAAGTAAGAAAGTGACTGATTGTTATTTTCCTTGTATCTGTCACCGCTTGCCACCATTATATCTAGCCACAACGTTCCCTTCCATTTTTATGCTGATGATATTCAAATCTATATGCCACAGGTTCGTTTGGTGCATTACAAAACTGTCTACAGGATGTCAAAGCTTGGCTTAGTCAGAATTTCCTTTACTTAAATGAAGGCAAATCTGAATTTATTGTTATCAGCCCCCAGTTGGATGGAAGTGCAGTTGATGTTCGTTTGATCGTCTACCTTGAGCCCCCCCCCCCCCGCTCTCTAATGCGGTAAAAAATCTGGGGGTAATTTTTGACACCAATTTCAACTTTGATAAACAGACCAAGTCAGTGGTTAAATCCAGCTTCTGCCAGCTAAGACTGCTGGTAAAGGTAAAGCCATTTCTCTCTCATAGTGACTTAGAGAAAGCCATCCATGCGTTTGTGACTTCCCGGCCTGACTATTGTAATGCCCTGTACTCCGGGTTATCCCAGTCATCACTCTCCAGGCTCCAGCTTGTTCAGAACGTCTTTACTTAAATGAAGGCAAATCTGAATTTATTGTTATCAGCCCCCAGTTGGATGGAAGTGCAGTTGATCTTGGCACATATGGAAAGTAGATCTTAAGGTTTTGCTTTATGTTTTTAAAGCCATGCACGGCCTTGCCCCTCCATACCTGTCCGACCTCTTGGCTAGATATGTCCCTCGCAGAACCCTGCGATCATCGGGTCACCTTGCTCTTGTTGGTCCCCCTGCACACTACATAAAATGGGGAGGTCGTGCCTTTGCCGTGCACGGCCCTAGGCTGTGGAACTCCCTGCCTTTAGATATACGCTTGACAACTGAGCCGGCAGCGTTTAAGTCAGCGTTAAAAACTCATCTTTTCAAACAAGCTTTTAATGTTTAGCGTGTTCACTGATTTTCGTCACCTTTAATAATTTATTTCTTAACTAGTTTTAATATATTAGTGTGTGTATTGCTCCTCTGGGCCACCACAGTTAAGCCCCCGGTGGGAGAGCCAGCTGGGTGGGAGATGGCCTATATCAGACGCTGGATATCTATTTGGCTTCTGTCTGTTTGAGTGTTCTTAACTGATATTGTATTACTATGTTTTACTATGTTTTTATTGCTGTAGCACTTTGTGCTCTTGAGCTGGAAAGTGCGGTACAAATAAAGACTATTATTATTATTATATTATTATTATATAAAATAAGCTCTATTTGAAGTGCAGCTATATTTCCAGAGGAGGATGGCAGCTTTGTTATCAGGAGTCCTGTATCCTCTGGAGTGTTAGAGATAGACCATAAATTACACACAGTGGCATACTGATACATAAAAGGGTGTCAAACCACAACCCCAGTGGTTTATCCCAGTCAGTTACATTAACCACAGATAAACCAAAAGGGTCAACTGAGAACATTTCTCCCTTCTCCTCAGATGACATAATAACCCAGCTGGGTAAGGCCAGCTGATCTGATGAGAATCCACTGAAACTCTAACCAAAAAGGTGTGTTTAGCTCCCTGCTCTGCATCTCTGTCTCTAATCCACCTTAGATGTCACCTTGAGAGGATGGACAAGCCATTCTTCTGCATGCAGAGCAACCTGTGGTGATTGATGCTGCATGATTACTTTCCTTAATATTCATTACAGTTTTTTCAATACAAATTGAAACCCTGAAACAGATTCTTAAGGGGTTTCTTACATAATTTTGCCTCTGGGATGGAGGAGTTTTAATAGTACTAGACTGTATGATGTATTTTTAAAGTTAAACCTCTGACTGGTATAGTCTCATTTATACTGGGGAGACTTCCCTAAGGACCCCCTGGGGTGTCCCCAGATGTGCTACCCATCGCTCTCCAGCATGCAGGACCTGTTTAATGTCCTCTTATGAGACGTGAAGTTAACCTCCACAGGCTGAACAGCTTACTTTTTAACCGCCATGTGCAGCGCAGCGCACAGGCAGCCACCGCTCCGTCTCCCGGCGGCGACACGCAACATGAATCTCGGTGAGGAGAAAAAATCTGCATGCAATACGACATCCATGCCGTTACCCTGCAGTAGAGCATCTCACACTCACATGTCACACTCACACCTCTGCAGGCATGTACGCCTCTTATCATGCACAGTACAGAAAAAGAGATCTCAAAAAAAAGGAAACGGGACGGGAAAGTGAAATGAAAAAATAAATGCCTACCTGTAACTCCACACTGTAACCTTGATAGAAGTGTGTCGGGAACACCGCCAGCTGATGTTGCACTTGGAGGGAAACTGTATAATCCATTAACCAGGAGATGCTGATTAGGGCCAGGCTGAGCGGGAGACGCGCCTACTGTTGGCAGCAGTACTACACTGTAGTACAATCTGCCGATGCTCTCCGCCCCGCTGCGCGCCCATTGGCAGTTCACTCCAGGCAGGGCAGGAAGTGGCGGCGCCCATCAGCCAGTTTGCGCTATTTTAGAAATAGGCTACAGTGGTTTACTCCTCAGAACATCCTGATCAAATGCCAAAAGGTGTCCAGAAGGCTTCCTCTTCTTCTACTTTCGGTTATTTATTCATTGTCTGTGTCAGTTGTTATAATTTCATCCAGGACTTCTCATCCATGTTGGCTTCAACGTCAAGCGTGAATGATCTAAACTCTGTTCATTCAGTGGGCAGTGAGAATCCATAGTCAGTGTTTATATGGAAGGATAATCAGAGTAACAAGATCTTTGGCTGTATAAATGTGAGCTTAGTGGTGCTACAGTCTTCACTAGTAAAATAATTCAGTTACTGTAGTTTGCGGGGTGGGAATGACCCACTAATTTTGGAGCCCTAGGGCTTCATATTCCTTAGTATTAGTCTGCTTTTGTTTGACATGTGCTGGAGCTGTCAAGCTACATAACCAGAATAAATCAAAAGAGTATGATATAGATGTTAACATAAGCTCATAGAGATGGCCCCAGCATCTCCTCCTTCAGAATGTGGTCTGTTTAAAGGCGGTGTGTAGCTGCAGGGCAACATTCATGTGCAAATAAGGTCAGCAATGCAATTTACAAAATATCTTCTCTGCTGATTATTTCAACTAGGTCAGAATATCAGGCCAGTGCAGAATTGTATGAGATGAGAGATGAATAAAAAAATAAAAAAGCTGGCACTGGTAAATGTCTTTCATCTGCCCTTGAGCACAGTGCCCATGGTGCAGATGGTTGGACTGTCACGACACACTATGTTTGTAACAGGAAACATGTCGCATCCTTGGGGCCTTCTGTGCATCACACTTCCATTTTCAGCATGCATCCAGAGTGCCTCGCTGTTAGTGGGCAGGTAAGTGTTCAGTAGGGTGCCTGACGGATAATTGATGTGCCCACTGCTCTGGGAATCGAACATGTGACCTTCCAACTGGGAACGGTTCGGCCTCAGCACCAGGACAACCTGATCCCTCTAGACAGGTGGTCTTTGATCACAGCTGCATGTTGCCCGCTGAATGGAGCTGTGAGAGGAGAAAATGTGTCAGGGCCACATGATCTGCTTTTGTTCATTTGTAGACGTCTTTGCATCTCATTATCCGGTGCTCAGTAGTGGAATATATTCATGATATGCATTATGGAGGAATGGTTGTAGCTTAGTGCTGAATATTAATTCCCCACTCCTTTACGTCAATTCTAAAATCAGATTCTCACCTCCTTTATAGGCTTCACACATCAGCTGCACATTTGCATGAAGTTCATGGTCCATAGTTTGTCATCAACTGCTGCCCTGACCAACAGAGGACAGAAATGCAATGACTCACACTGAAATAAGAAGTCCTAGATATCTTATGAAGCATGAGCAGCAAAATATAGGCCATTCATAAAGGCCTGTGTGGATTTATGGGTGAAATCCCTGCCTCTTGTAATAGAATACATTTTTCCCAAGCTCCCTAAGGAAAGAAGCAAAAAGCAGGGGTTTCTCCACAGACTGTGGATTCTTACCAAAGGTTCAAACAAGTGAATTGAATGAATTAAGCTTTTCAAACCTGGCCCACTTTGTTGTGGGGAGTCTTCATGGCAGCCTGTAGCACACGTGCCTGTCTGTTGCTAACTTGTTGCTTTGGGTCCTGTCTTTCCTCCTCTTTTACTTTGTGCTGCCACACATAGACAACAAATGCCACCATTGGTCAGTCGGCTCCATGTAGGGCATGATGGGCATCAAGGTTACTCTGACCCTGAACCCAGGAACTAGTCAGCCATCCTGCTCATCATAGTTAATCTTTTAAACAAGCTGTCTTTTACAGGGACATATATTACGTGTGCATAGTGAAAATTCCTGCCACCACTTTTGCTGTATTCACATGATAAATTAAGCAAGACTAATAGGCCAAAACATCTAATTCACTAATCAACACTCTTATCAACAAAAACAGTGAAATGGAAGTGTTAGTGCAGTGTTGCTCTGCAGTTGTATTATTGTGATTCAGGCTACATATTAATCCAGCCGATGAAACATTTTCTCATCTAAATGAACAGCAATGTGAATGCATATTTGGCTGTGTTTTCATGCTTTGCTGCATTTTTTTTCTAAATGTTGCAAATCTGTCACGGAATTTGTAAAGACATTATACTCTTGTTCTTTTTTTGTTTATTTGCATGCATTTTTTTTTATTACAGCGTGTTAAGCTCTCAGGGCACCATAGTTTAGTGATGTTATAACAGTGTGATGCTATTACTGCCTTTGCAACTTAGAGAAACACTTAATTACACTCACGACCACAAGAGATTGCTTGTTAGGGAAACACTGAGTACATCCCAAGTCTCTTATATGTTTGTTCCTCATTCCATGTCCTTGTGAGGACAGTCTCAGAAATCATCTATCTCATAGAAAGTGATAGGTTTTATTGTTACCACCTTTTTTGGCAGAAGAAATGTGAAAGGCCATCATGGGTAAATAGAGGAAAGCAGCAGCGCCCATAGAAACACAGACTCTGAAAAAGCCGGAGTTTGACTCAGAGGTGATGACCAGAATGACAATGAACCTACAAAATCCTTTCAGATGTGAAAAACAAACAAATTTTCATATATGCAGATTTTGAAGTCATAACCTTCATCAGTGCTAAAACTGATGCATATGCCTCTGTGCACTGTAGTTTTGTGTATAAAGAATGAGGGGGTGTTCAGAAGACGCCCATGTTAAAACATGCTCCTGCTGGACAGCAACCTGCTGCCGCCATGCAGCTGGGAAAATGACACCATGTGTTACATCACATTTTCACTGGAGGTATTGGTGCCAAAATCCCCACTGGCATCAACAGCCCCAAAGAATTTGCTCACATTTAAATGTCTCCACAGTTTTACACCCAGAATTTGGACCCTGTCACACAGTGTGAGGGTAAACCTGGTGTATCATTTTGCTTGATAGATGTCAGAACACCACTTTACCTGCATGTGTCATCTGATAGAAACCACCACCTCTGACCCCAAAGGGGGATTCTTCTGTCATAATCCAATGAATTGTTGAATTTAAAAACATTGCTATCCATTAGGAAATGGAAACATAACTGTATAATGGAAGCAGTATACACAGTATTATACAGTAGAATGTTTGTATGGTCAAATATCAATGGATTAATGAGTATTATTATTATTAGTGAGTAGATCACAGAGGAACTCCATCATATCTAAGTTGAGTTTTTAATAAAAAGCCAAAATCACGACCCTAGATTGGTATTACTACACATACTTGTTCTTGTACAGAAAGTGAGGACTGGCCAAAATGTGCTCCCTTTCTAAAAATGTCCTCACTCTGTAGCAAAAAAAAAAAAATCTTTTTTTGGTACTCACAATGTAACAAGTACAAGAACACATGCACACATATGCATCTTCCAAAAAAGCACAGAGGCCAGACAGAGGAGACGGGGGCGCTAGGGACTGGCATGACAGCCATGGAGATGAGTTCCACATGATGTAAGGAGCAGGGACATTAGCCAGCAGGGTTCACACACACACACACACACACGCACACGTAAACATGTTTTTCTCACTGAACCTTTCTCCTACAAATTCCTCCTCTTCCTTCACTCAGAGCTCTCATGCTTCACCACACAGGCCTGGGTGTACAGTGGAGGGTTGCTTGTGGGGTGTCGGTCTGGGGGCCAGTATTATGACAGAAAAAATTAAAGCCATCAGGTGAGCAAGACCCCATAAAAGCTGTTCAGCTGTAATGCCATTTATGGGACATCAGTTATGGGTTAACTGTATGATTTTCTTCATAACTGATGAAGGTCAGACAGATTGAAATGTTGTGGATTAAATAAATTATATAGCCTAAGTGAGACAAAGTGCAGGAGTCATTTAGGCTTTTGCTATTTGTTGCTCTCCTCCAACGCACCTGTCACACATATTCAGGTTTACAGAGACTTGTTACTTTTTAATTAAGTGAAAATAGCAATACCATTTACAAGACTCCAAGACCTGGAGTGCCCTGGTAGCTGAATGGCTTCTGCACATTATGTAACCACAGCATCCAAGGCTCAGTTCTGACTGCGGACACAATAAAATGAAAAAATTCCTTCATTCAAAATGTAATTTTGTTTAATTTAGTAAACTTTAAGTAACCACAGCTATTAAAAGGAAAATGCACTTAAAGTGTCGAAAGTAAAAATACACAGTAGACAGTGTTATATTATCATAGGTATCATATTGTGAATTGTGTTACTGATGCATGAACACATAAAGAGCTCATTTTAATTGCTTCATATGCTGTTGGACAGTTTTAATGCATTTTAAAAGCTGATCCTACATTATGAATGTAAAAATTTTAAACTGCTAAGTAACAAGTCACTATGGGTTTCAGATAAATCTTCTTCTTCTACTTTCAGCTGTTCCCGTTAGGGGTCACCACAGCGAATCATCTGTTTCCACCTAACTCTATCCTCGGCATCCTCTACTCTCACCCCAATTAACTTCATGTCCTCTTTTAGCACATCCATATATCTCCTCTTTGGCCTTCCTCTTGACCTCTTGCCTGGCAGCTCCATCTCCAACATCCTTCTACCAATATAACCACTATCCCTCCTCTGCACATGTCCAAACCATCTCAATCTGGCCTCTCTGACCTTGTCCCCAAAACAGCCGACCTGAGCTGTCCCTCTGATGTGCTCATTCCTAATCCTGTCCATCCTGGTCACTTCTAAACAGAACCTCAACATCCTCATCTCTGCTACCTCCACCTCTGCCTCTTGTCTTTCCCTCACTGCTACAGTCTCTAACCCATACAGCATAGCTGGTCTCACTACTGTCTTGTACACCTTTCCTTTGATTCGTGCTGCCACTCTTCTGTCACACAACACTCCTGACACCTTTCTCCACCCACTCCAACCTACGTTTCAGATAAATGATGGTGAGT